CAAAATATTATCTTAGCAGCATAGTTATCAGTATAATTTAATGGTAATAATGTAGCGGATCCTGTTAATGGGTAAGTACGTGGAGAACCAGGGACATCGGGTAATGTTTTTATTACTGTATGATTTACATAATCCCAAATTTGTGCCTTTTTATTAGCGGACATAAAAAGCCAATTTTGGCCTACAGGTCCAGGAAGAACTATGCACACCGGGTAAAGATTGTAAGGAATTCTTTTTTTATGAAATTAAATATGATATTTTGATAAAAATTATTATTATAATCTAAATAATATAATTTGTACATAATATAATTAGTGTTTAAAAAACTTACGTATCCACAAGAAATTGTATAGTTATTGGAGTATTATTGCCATGACTTGGGAAAAACTCAAAAGTAGGATTATTTATTTCTGGTGTATTTGCATTAGTAGCTTTTGTACATCCACCAAAATTCATTACGCGACCATCAGGTAATCTAAAGTATAAATTAAATATTAGAATCATATTAGAATAATAAATGAATTATAATTATTTTAACCATATTATTTATTATACATTACAGAACTTAATGAATGTAATAGTAGTAAAAATATTTACCTGACCATAGTATTATACCACCTAGCAGTAGTCATATAATTTTTATAGTCTGCCCAATCACATGTATGATCATCACACCCAGTGAACATACGTAGAGATTGGCTTCCAGCGCCTATAGTACCAACAATTACATCACCACCAGTTTCAATTAATGTGCCATTTGCCATAAAAGCACCGGCAGAGCAAAAGGTATTAGTATCCAAGTTAAGTACTCGATATTTGTTGGTTAATAAATCGTATTCAGTTGAAAATGCGCTTGTTCCATTTACAGTTTGAGCAACATTTAGTTCCACTATTTTCATAAAATTAAAAAATGTGTTAAAGACAAATATAAAGATTTATATTATGAGTTAAACTCAATCTTGTAGAGTAAAAACCTCTTCGAATGAAATATTTTTATGGAAAAAAATAATTTAGTTCACAGAATAAATCATGATATTATCTTACCTCGGTCAATAATTACAACTTTTGA